TCTCTTCCCTGCCTATGCAGCGGGTCATATTCGATGATCTATTGAGGTCCCTTCCGACCCTAACATCTACGAATCTATGAATATTTACCTGCCCTTGGCTGCCTGTCATGTGGCCCTCGATTTGCCAAAAATCAGTAAGCAGCCCTCCACCTGAAATAATTGCCTGCCCCTGCTCTAGACCAAGGGTCAGCAACCTGTCAGGAGTGATGGGCTAAATTAACACAGCTAGTTCTAAAGGTGGGCTGCTGGCACCACTGTTCCCCTTCTTGCCAACGAAGTACTGATACTGATGCTATAGGTTGCCAAACCCTGCTCTAGAAAAATCTTCTGGAGATGCATTGCCACGGGAGAACTTGAGATCTTAGAACTGCCATCAGGAGGGGCCAGGGTGTACCCATCCTGGAGAGAAGAAAGTGGGAGCACCAACCCGTGTAGGGACCAGAGTCTACAAGAATCAAAATGATGTCAGGTAGATCTTGTCAGGATTTTGGAATTCCCAAATCAACCCTGATACCATCAGATGAGCATTTCACATAGCTGATAGGGGAGGGGCCGGTTCTCTTGTAGAGAAGTGATGTAGGTGGAGGACTAGAACTTAATTCACCCCGACAGCCACTTGACCTGAGGGAGAAAAAGCCGGACTGGGGATATACCCTGCCAACTGGCAAACCCTGTCCCCCACCCCCAAGTATTGCCCCCATGAAAGGGCTGGTGAAGCAGGTTGTTCTCTGGCAGGTCACTCCGTACTGGTACTGTCTGACGCGCCTCTGAACATAGCTTCTGTTTGGCCGTGCTTATTTCCCTACCAAGTAGTGAGGTTTCCACATGTTTCTCCTGGTAGCTGGATCCCTAGCAAATCTTTGGAGCAGCAGATCACCGAGTCTTCAGAGCTACCAAGATGACAAAGCTAGATCCTCTTCCATTTAGTTATGGCCATGGTCTGTTCCCTCAACCTGAGGGGCCTCTGCAAACCATGGCATCCTGAGCCAGGATCAGTGTCTGTTGCCATATTTCCTTCAAGAAATAACTTGTGAGGCTTTCAGTCCTGGCCAGAATGTAATTGCAGTCACAGGAACTGAATTAAGATACAGAGACAGGGGTTTTCTCTTCAGTCTAGTTCTTGTGCACTGTCTCATCTGGTTTGGGAAACATTGTTCAGCAAAAGCCATTAATAGCTCTCAGCAGTAATCTGCCCCCACACCTCTCGATTCCTTCGAAATGGTCAGAAACAAGGAATCTAGCTTCTGTCCTGTGGCATCTCTCTCCAGGGCACTTTGCTTTCTACTGTGACATTTCCCAAAGGGTTACCCTTAAGGAGAGACATTAAGACCCCTCTTGCAGGCTATTTCCATGAAGTAACAGAAGATATCCCTGCCTGACCCGGTCAATGCATTGTCATCTGATTCCTATTGGCTCTCAGCCCTAATGTAAAGGGGCTATGAATGCAGTCTTTGCAAAGCTTCTGGAAGCTCCATGAGGGGCTTCAAAAGATATCTCATCTCAAAAGATGATCTCTCATCTCTGGTCAAAAGATCCGTCATCTCTGGTGAAAGGCTCTCTTGAAGCCTGAAGACTGTCCAGTGGGTAGTATCAGCCATGCAGTGAAGGCTCTATCCACTCAATGATTGGACTTATGTTAGTCACCTGGCTAACTACTAAAACCAACCCCACAGAGCAATCACACACTGGGAGCAGTCCATCAGTAGGGCGTGACCATATAAGAAAAGGCAGAAAACCCTGAAGTTAACTTTAGAGATGAAAAAAATAGACCCACTTAACTTCTTCCTCTATAGCTGCTCTCTTTGGGTCAGCAAGTGTGCATGTCATGTCTGACAAGCCTCTGGGCCATGCGCTCTATTCAGAGATGCAGCCCTGGTCACTGTCATCACAACTTTATTTGCAGCTGTGATGAGGCAGCCTGGATCACACAAAGAATTGTTTCCTTGCCAACGGGGAAGGATTTGCGTGGGCAATATCTTTTATTGGCCACGTACATTGTGGGGATAGACTTAGACAAGCTTCCAAAGGAAGGGTACTGCAACATCTGAAAGCTTGCCTAACTTTATCCCCACCAGGCAGTTGGTCCAATAAAAGATCATTCACAAAATCTCACATATTTCCTAGACCATCATGGGCACAACAATCCTTGTCAATTCTCATTTGTAGCAGGAATTTATCAGGACCTCAACTTCCCTTTTTGCCTTTGTTCTTCCTTCACAGTGGCAGTATAAATTGTTGCCTCCAAGACTAGGATAGTTAGAATGTACAAGCAGATTCATAAGCTGAAGGTCAGGTTCAGGTTTACTGTATGTACAACAGCTGCTTGTAAGAGTAAAAGCCAATTGCATTGTTTCTATAGCATATTAAAGCCAACGGCCATGCCCAACTATTTTCCAAGCAAATATTGTGACTAAGCTGTGGGGAAGCCAGGAGTGAAAGTTAACTTTGGTAAAAGCAAAACTGCTGCAGCTGAAGGAAATACAAATAACAAGGAAGGAATGGGGCTAGAATGATAGTGAGCAAGGCTCGTAGCTGAGGAAAAGGAACACAACTGCTTCTTCCTCCACCCAGGGAGGAGAATGCAGGCTCAATGTGACTTGCCCAAGGCCACTATGAGTGACAGTGACACATTCAGGCTCTGATCCCATGCACTTGCACACCCTCTGCCCAGGAAAGAAAGTGGGTGGCTGCAACTGGTTTAGAAGGTAGACATACTCTCTGGTGGTGACTGTGCCCTGTACCATTGTCCAAAGTATCAAGAACAGGAATCACTAGGTGACTAGATGAACTGTGCAAGGTACTATATGAGCTAGTGGGGGCAGAGATGCCAGTAAAGCAGGCCTGCAACTGCACATCAAGGATGCTGTGAGGGAAGTGCCTTAGGACTCCAGGATGGAAGCTCTGCTGAGTAGCATCAAGGCTGGCTTTCTGTCCACCTCACTAACCCTACCTGTAGGTACCTGCTACAGCCTACTGCTCCTCAGCTGAGGCCTGCACTATCCCCCACAACCTTACTTGAGTCAGGCATGGATTAGGACCTTTGGAGCAACCCAGGTAGGAGGGGACTGGGGGACATGGGGAAAGAGGCAGAGGAAGCGGTTTCAATATAGGAGACATTCGAGGCTGAGTACCACCCTCTTTCGGCTCCTTCTTGGCCAGGCCAGAGCAGCACTCAACCTCTAAGGCCTGGTGTCAGGACTCCTGGGTCTTATACAAGACTTCAGCTCCAGCTCACAGGAGTGACTTGCAGCAAGTCCCTAGTGCAAATCCTCTGGGCCAGCACAGCCTTCCTTCACACCCACAAGAACATCAGTCTTTAGCCCCATGCTGATGCAGAGCGAGCAGTGAGTTGTTCTCAGCCTCTGTGCTGTGTCGATTCCCAGGGCGAAGCCCTTCCCACTGCACGTTCTGAGCAGGGGGCTCAAGGACCACAACAGAGGCAGAGTTCTCTAGCTGCTCTCTAGTGCCTGGACAGCTGTGTCCTCACTTCAGCCTGGGTGCAGGCTGCAGCCCATTCCCAGAGAAACCTGAGACAGGCAGGGTGACCTGCAGGAATGGGATGCAGGGGTGCTCACAGGCCCCAATTTTCAGCTTGACCTCTAACACCATCCCTACCCTCCTCTCTCCTGATCCAAATACAGCAAAGGGTCAGCCCCAAAGCTGACCTAGTCTTCTGTCCTCCCAAGGAGGGCTCTGATCCCTGAATAAGTCCCATGTAATGAGATGCTGTGCATGTGGCATGGGAACAAGATAGAGGCTCCTTGCTCACTCCTCTTCAGGCATAAGGATGGCCCTTGCCCGAAGGGAGCTACTCCTGGTACAGGGTAGAAAGTCTCTCTCCCTGGCTTCTCTCTCCAAAAATAGCTGGGGGGGAAGGACCAGGAACAGCAAAAGCTGGGGAAAGGTAGAGTAGTTGTGGAAACAGCAGGCACTAATGCTGCCAGCCACATGCCCAGAGATGGAAAGCTCGAGCCAGGAGAGCTGCAGCAAGTTATGCTTGTGGCTACTATTGGGCTTTTCCTGCCACCCATCCCCTTCAGTACTGAAGGTACACAGCCACAAGGGAGGCACACAAAGATATGGTTCAGGGGAGCCAGACCCTCAAAAGCCACTCTCCAATTCAGAGAAACAGCTGAATGGCTGAGTGTAGCAGGGAACAAAGGGAGTCCAGAGGCAGGCAGGTGGCTGGAAGCTGCATGCTTCAGCAATGGGGCAGGTGCATTGCCAGTTGAGACAGGAGCAACACACTCCAGCATAGGCTTCCTTTCCCTTGAGCAGCAGCAGCAGCACAAGACTCAGGTCTGAGGTACAGCATGCCTCAGCCTTGCAGCTCAGGCTCTTCTGAGGAAACTTGTGGGGAAATAGCCTGCCAAGGAAGGATGCTGCTCTGTCCCACCACAGACAGGCTCTGCTTTGTGCACTTACCCACATGAAAGATGGGCGGGGCTGGGGAGAAGAGTAGGAGAAATGCATGAGGGACACAGAAGGCCTTGTAGGAGAGAGACCACCACCCCTGCTGTCCCCAGTGCTCCACTGTAGGGTCCCCTAGCAGTCTCAACCAGGCAGGTAGGTTGCCTGACCCTGCTGACATCTCCTAGTCCTGCAGATCAGATAACAGCAGCATGGCTCAGACCACTGTCAGACATGGCCCTCAGCCTCTTCCCAAGCAGAGATTTAATTAAAACAGGAATAAAAAGGAGAAAGCACCTGACTTAGTCAGGAGTATTTAATAAAAAAGGAAAAAGTTGGGCCTGGCTCTGGGTCAGGGCAGCAGGTTGTGTACCATCTCCATTTCAGTCCATGTTCCCAGCCGGCTCGTGTCTGGACAGTCTGTGCCCCCAGGCAAGGCAGCCTAAGTGCCCTCCAATAAGCCACTCTGGGAGAAGAGTTCAGTCAGTGTTGCCTCCAGGACTGTTCTCCCAGTCACCCACATCTGCAGCAGGCATCTTCCCAGAGCCACTTTAGCACCGGGGTCGTGCTTGCCCTCACCGGAGGCTGCTGCTGCTGCTGGCTTGCGAGCTCCCCACTCCTGGGTGCTCTGGGCTGTGACGGTTCTAGGAAGAACAGACAAGACACAGACACCCTTCCCTGAGAATCCACAGTGAGACTGTACAGGTTACCAGTGGACTATGATGGCTTAGCCCTGAAGCTGGAGGAAGATTTTTTTCCTTTAAAAACAAACAGTCATAATTTCATAGTTGGTAGGGTCGGAAGGGACCTAAGCAGTCTTCCCATTAAAAACTGGGATTATAACTCAAGTTCTCCCCATGAAGTGTGGCGTTTCCAAGGAAAGTTTCCAAGTTCACTTTCATGGAAAACATTTGAGGGTTGGGGAGGGAGACGTTTGAAAATGCTGCTACAGGGCCCTATAGGAGACCATGGAAGTACAGCCCATGTTCCTATCCTCCTATAAGACCTCTGGTAACACTACAATTTCCAGGATGCACTGCTGCTTCCTCACAGCAGGAGACCAGGGTGCATGGAAAATGAAGAATAAAATGGAAATATGAGGCAGCCAGAATTACAAATTCTTCTCTCCACCACTGCTCACAGCTGTATTTTCTAATTCAGTTTGTTGGGTTTTTGTGCTTCCATTTGTGCAGAGGAATGAGGAAGGGGAAGGAGCTTATTTTCAGCCAGATCCAGATGGGAAACATTGTTTCTCGCTGGAGCCTCCTCAGCCTTTAAGTCAGACCCCTAGAAAAGGGGCTTTATGCCAGGATGGAGACTCCCGAGCAAAACAGGTCACAGGGAAGGGGCTAGACTAACTGTCCTCAACATTTTTAGGCTCAAGGCACCCTTCCACAACTGCAAATTGAGCAACACCTCTTTTCAAAAGCCAACGTGTTTATTTTAGTGGCTTGCAAAGAAAGAGGAGCAGCTGGCAGCGAGTGTCGGGGCAGGAGCAAAAGAAGGCAGAGAAGTAGTTAGAAGAGCTCATACTCATCTCCTCTCTCCCAGTGGCACCCTGCGAAAGGTTGTTGCAACATCCTGGTTGAGAATCACTAGGCTAGACAGATTTGCAGCTCTGTCCCACCCCAGCACGGCAAGCACAGCTGGGCACAGACACGTGGAGTGGAGCCAGTGCACCCCCAACCCCTCTCTTAGTTTGCCACTCACCTTTTTTTTCTTCTTCTCTTTCTTCTTCCTCTTCCGCTCTGGATCCTCCTCCTTTTTCTTCTTCTTCTTCTTGTGGTCAGAGTCTGAAGGGGTTTCTGCAAGAAGAGCCACAGTTTGAGGCTTGACAGGCTAGTTACCTGTCCAGGCAGGGCCTGACCTTTTCAGGAGACAACTGGGGTGGATGGGCTGCTGCTTTCTTGCACAGGCAGGTGGGGTTGTGAGCTGCAGCCCTTACCTGGGGGCACAGGATCCTGAGTGCGGCTTTGCTTGTGTTTGTGTTTGTTTTTCTTCTTGGGTGGCTGGATGTGCATCAGGCGGCACTGCTCCGGCAACTGAGGAGACACCAGGACCGGGTCAGCTCGGGGAGTTCCCGCTCCCACAGGACGGGGCAGGACAAGCCCACATCGCTCTCCCAGCCCTGCTCCCCAGTCACATGCCCACCCCCGCCCAGGCTAGGGCGGCTCACCGGGCCGGCGTGCAGGCGGAAGCCCGTGAGCATGGTGCCAGTGAGAGGGGTGAAGGAGCTGCTGCAGATGGGTGGCTTCTCGATGAGGGAGCGCAGGCTGCTGTTGTCGTGCGAGCCGGGCAGGTCGATCATACCCGGCAGGTCGGGCAGGAAGTTGCTCAGCTTCTCCTTCACCTTCTTGCCGCAGAACTTGTTATAGGCGTGCTCCAGGTTGTAGTGCGTGATCAGGTTGGTGCTGCCCGTCAGCTCCGTGTTGCCTGTAGGCCGAGGGTTCCCGTCACAGCTGAGGCGAGGCCTGACCGGCCTATGCCACCCACCACGGGCAGGCGGCAGACCCGAGTCCGCAGGAACCGCCCCCTCCCGGGGAAGGACCCCAGTGCCGCGGCGGCCTCTCATCGGCTAAGAAGCTGTTTCCCCACCCACACGCCCGCCTCCTCGGTCACTGGCTGTCAGTCACAAAAAATACAGAACGCCCGCCCCCTCCCTCACGCAAGGAGCGCCCCGCCCCGTGGACGAAACCGCCGCTAGATGCGGTGATAGGCCGGCCGGCCTGCCCAGCCAACCATCGGAGTGCCCCGATTGGCTGCTGCGCCTCAGCCCGCCTGACGGCCCCGGATTGGCTATCTGCCGCGAGCCCCGCCCTCTACCTGGGAGCTCGCGCATCAGATAGAAGGGGCCACTGGAGGCCGCGGTCTTGCGAGACTGGTCTTCTACGCTTTGCGGCGCCGCGGCGGCTGGGGGAGGCGCGCTCCCGGGCCCTGCTGGCTTCCCCGGCCCGAAGCCCAGCGCGGCGGCCGCGGCGGGGGGGCGGGGGCCCGGCCCGCCGGAGAGGGCC